TATATATATATATATATATATGTAGAACAATTATTTTTGAGGTAAAGAACGTTTGCATGTGAATCGGTTTCCTCGGTTCGATATTCATTTCAATCTGATAATTATTATGGAATTTAAAATGTCAAGTTGGGTGCAATAATAAATAAAATAATTATGTCCCCCGAAACAAAAAAAAAATTTCTAAACGTCTTTCAAGTGAAGGCAAGAAAAGGGACAAAGACATATATATACATCCAAAGATGTGTAGAAATATTGGATCAAACATTTGGAAGCAACGAATCAAAGCTGTGGCTATGGAGAGGTCGGTCCAAATATATACAGACGCATGGGAATATTGTATATTTATGATTAGGCCGAATCATATAACTATATATATATATATTTACATGCATTTTATTTGTGTGATTGATGGGAAATATAGAAGAATGGTTCCGAAAGGAGAAAAATTAATCATGTAAGGTCACGGGGGGTACCATCCTCTATCACTCTCTCATGTGTTTGTATTATATAATTACATTTTTTTTTTAAATCCACTTCATGATTGACCTTTCGCCTTCACCATTTCCCTTTCCGTGAACTCCTCGTTTGGTACACCGGTGAATATTATTTTAAAAAAAATTGAATTATATATATAATTGTGTTTTAATTGAAGCTTTGAATATGGTTTTTTTTTATAAATTAAACTCATGGAATATAAAAATAATGAAAATTGAGGGAAATTAAAATTTTAAAAATAAAGTTCTTAATGAAAATGAGACGGATATAATTATAGAAAAATTGAAAAAATTAAACCAAAAATAATTGAATGGAAATATAACTAATATCTGAATAAATATAAATACATGGAAAGAATTATAGAAAAAAAAGTAGTTATTTTATTTATGAAATAAAATATAAATCACATGGTTAGAACTTCTACATGTCTAACCTACCTAATATTGAATGAACTAGCTACAAACTTTTGGCTTTGAACAAAGACAACAACAAGACTATGATAATAATGATAGAAATCTGAATGATTTTTCGGTTCATGAAAATGTCGGATAATCCTTATCTCAATCTACAATAATAATTAAAAAAACCATCGAAAATTTAGCTAAATTATCAGCACAAAGTGTTTTCCCGTTCATGATGTGTTTGGATCGAAAGAAAATGATGGAAACTTAACATTTTTTTTTTGCGTTGGATCGAATGTGGTATTAATGATATTATGGATGTTACATATAATATAATATTATGTTCTTTTTAAGATTTTAAGTATATTTTCTTTTTACTTTGACGAAAGCAACATGCGATGCGCAATGCCCACGAGCCACCCAAAATTCAAGGCTTTCCATCAAACAAATTGTAGGGCACAGCATAGTTCAGAAGAAACCGAACCACTAAACCGGACTATACCGACCCGGTTAGGTGAATTAGGCCTCGAATAGGCGACTTCTTTCCAAATCACAGCTTCCCCTTTCCAGTATGATTCCGTTTCTGTACCCCCCCCCCAAAAAAAAAAAGGGCTGAGACCATACGCCATCAACAACAAAAAATGGTCTTACATTATTCCATATGTAAACAGATAGATATATACATATGTGTATGATGTGTGTGTGTGTGTATGCATGTATATTAACGAGTGACATCATGCCAAGCTCAAAACGCTAGCTTTGGGTAAGCCCACAATCCGTAAACGGATTCTTCATCCGATTCACTCTCAGAGGAATACGTATTACTTTGTAACCCCCCCATGATATACTCCACAACCTGCAAACACAAAAACACCAAAAAAGAAAAAGAAAACTTATTCAACTTCAACACGAAACAGGCGTGATGGATTCGCTACCCAAAATTCGGATATCCGAACGTTGTATGAGACGAGATATGTGAGAAAACCCCAAAAACCGGGATCAGATCTAGATAATTGGATCCAAAATCGGGTGTCCCCGCGAATACCCGAATAAACAGTTTAGTGGCATTTTTGGCACTAGATTTTAGAGATATTACAAACAAAACTACTAAAATCTCTAGAAATTCCGGAATCTAACTCCTATCATGATATTTTGAAGAAAAAAAATCGAAGTTTGGTATTTAAACTCGTGTTTGGATGATTTATCTTGGATACCCAGCATTTGGGCACTATATAAAAACGGATCCAAATCCGAATAATAAATATTTTCGGATTCGGATAGTCCAAAAATCTTGGACATCTGACCCGAGTCCATCGCTAAAAGGTCAGAGACAGGAGATTACCTGTTGTGTTGATATGTGATCAACCAGCTTGCCGCCTGACTTCAACCTGCATTGTTCTTTTGGACATCTTAAACTGTTATGCCAAACGATTGAATCACAGTACCAGCAGTAGCCCCATGTAGATCTTAATGCTTTTGACAAGTTCTCGGCTGCACAAATAAGTAAAGGGCACCTTCAGAATCACAGAAAAAAAAAGCCTTTTCAACGGACAAGAGACTCGACCATTTACCTATATACGAGTTTTTAAACGTTTCTCTCCAGTCAATGTCGGTTTTCTGAGTCAAACTCTGGCTAGAATCTTTGAAGAGAAGATCATATTTTTTCTGCCACAGGTTATTATCATATGCAGCTAGATTCCATGAGCTACACAAACAGGGAAATGAATCAGGAAAGAGGAAACATGACGATAAAATGAGAGTACCCTAGAGACAGAATCGGGATAAAACAAATGATTCAAGAGAGAGATAGAGAGTACCGACAAACTTGGGCCGCAGAAACTAATGAAGCCACGTCAAGGAAACTAAAGATATGACGAAGGACATCTTCCGGTAGCTGTGGAGAATCTGAGAATGCAAGAGAAGACACAACTCACAAGTTACAAACTGGTTCTCATTTGTAAATAAGATAGCTAACTACTTTCTGCGGCTAGATCAGTTCCACAAAAGAAAGCCAGAGAACACAAGTCATTTAACCTAATTCTTCCTCCTCGCGGGTTTTACTATGCCTTTTCATGGCAACTTTTGAGTGCTTGAGTTCTGCGATGGCTAAGTTCCTCTTCTGTTTCGGGAGAACGGCTTCTACACTCTTCAAGAGGAGTTGAGCTGCTGAAACAGCAGCTGATGTCTGCATACTAAATGCAAATCCAAACCCGAAAACTATATCAGTATTCTGTATAAACCCACATCAACAGAAATTGGTAAAAATCACGAAATATCGAGAACCCTAGGGTTTGTGTTTGAATGAATATATTCTGATTAGTATCGCCAAATGGGGCGAGAAGTAAGCCATTCTGGGTAACCAATCCATAAATCCTGCTTAATGTTAAGGTTTCACGCTTGGCTTTAATGGAAGATTCATCGAGGAAATCATTCTTTTTCTTCGCTCTGTGGAATTCCCAAAACGTTTTTGTTCCAGTGCAAGGACACTTTCACACAATTCCAGATTCTATGTTTGTGGTGAACATAGAATCTGGAATTAAGCTCCTGAAGACAAACGGGGTTTCAGATTATTCAAAAAGCCATTTCCCAATTCAATAACTAGGGATTTGCATACTATAGAACCCTAAAAGATCAAAATTGAGGAAGATTGTACAAAGAAACACAAAAAAGAATCGAACAATCTCGGAGGGTGGGGGGAGAGAATACATACTCGGGAAGAAGACGAAAGGCGGTGAGCGTGTCTTGGAAAATCAAAGCCTGGACATTTTTGGGGAATCGACGATAACCGAGTTTGAGGATGGAGCTCAGTTCCTGGGAAACAAGTGGGTATCGATGGATTTCCGAAAGGGCTTCTCCTACAAATAGCTTCTTGTATCTCTCCATTGGGGTCGCCATTTCTTGCTCTCGAATCTCAATCTCGAATCTCAATCTCAGATTTTTTCCAAAAAGTAAAGATGTAATATTTCGAGATAAAAAAGATGCATTTTCCACTTAATAATGTTTTTTAAAAAGTTTTTGATTACTTGATAATAAATTAATTATAACGAAATTACAAAAACGTTGTAATTTGTAGCGATTGTTCTAAATTATTATAGAGAAAGTATATTACGAGTTATACAAAATAGTGTAAGACGAAGTAAACTTTTATTCTATGATATTTATTCGCACATTTTTTTGTTCCAAAAAAACATCCAAATATATTTAGAAAATCCTTGAAGAAATAAAACTTTGTAAATTATAAAAACAATGATTAGAAAATACCCAAATAATTAGGACAGAACTTAAAAGTAACTTTACATTACATATGGACCAGGACCAGTAAGGAAGGCTACAGACGAGACCAAACACTCACAGTCTCACATACATAACATTCATGTGTTCTGTACAGAAAAACATAAACTACACACCCAGAGGGGACATGAATCAGAGAACAAGCAAAACCAAAGTTTAGGGAAGTTGAACAACCCAGAATAGAATATGAATCTACTACAGTTTCTAAAAATGGAAAGGCCTAAACAAGCAAGCGATTCACGACTCAGCTTTGATGCAAAACGGCAGGTTTTGCCGAAGATCAAACGGTCTTTAACGCAGTACCCTTCCGTGGCGAGGGACTCTTAAAAACGATAATCTTACTGGATTGAGCTATCAGATGGACGGTCTTTTTCTCACACCACTAAAGTGGCAGAGATCGGTAAATGTGTCATGGGGGACTAGAGGAAGTACGTGAGCTGTTCTTTCTTCCTGGATCCGCCTTCTCCGTACAAATCGTTCCACTGCTTTAGTTCACTCATGGCAGATCCTTCTGCAGCAGAACTTGCGGCAACCTGAACATGAAAACCCATTAGAGTTTCGGAGTATGAAGTCTTTTGTGGCGAAACATTTGAGCTGAACGGATGTGTTTAAGGAAGGAATGAATAAGGAGAAGAGGGTGATTAACCTGATTCTTAGCTCGTCTCATGTCTTCCATGTTCAAATGTCTCAATGTAATGACTCGCTCCCCAGAAGTTCCTTCTTTTGAATCCATGGTCTCTTCAGTGCTTTTTCCTGCCCCCTCTTTCTTTTTCCTTTCCTGAGATTTTGAAAAGCCTCAAGAACAGTAACACAGAGAGAGAGAGAGAGAGAGAGAGAGAGAGAGAGAGAGAGAGAGAGAGAGAGAGAG